CCATTTATATTAGCTTCTCAAGCAGAACAGGTAACGTTTCTGCCATACCCTCGAGTTCGATCAACAGGAATTTCATGGTTAGCTGTAGTTAAAGTGGCTCCGAGGGGCAAGATTGTAGGGGTTGAGGATGTTCCACTTCAACAGGACACTTGCGTAGATCTGTCTGAACCAGATGTTGATGAGGAGATTTTCTTAATAGACCCTCGGAACAGGCAAGTTGAAGATCTTCCCGATGATACAGAAGAAGAAGGTGATGATGAGTTTGCTGAAACCGATGATGACGATTTGGCGGAAGAAGACGGTGATGGTGATGAAGTAATAGAGAAAGATGAATCTGATTGAGTTTCATGCATTGTATTTAGTGAATGCTTGGGTTTATATAATTTGTAACTTTGTTTGTTTGAATTTTTTAAAAACCCTAAAATTCGATTTTACGATGGTTTTACGACGGTTTTTCTAAACCCTAAACCCTAAGTCTAGGTTTTAAGCCCTGAATGAATAGGGTTTCAACATTACGACGTCTTTACGACGAACCATCGTAATATCGTCGTAAGGTTACGACGGTTTTACGACGAGTACACTATTTCATCGTAAAATCGTCGTAATGTTGAAATCTAAGAATTTGAATCTTTTATATCTTATTGGTTGTAAGGTATTTCACAAATGTTTTTGATTGGTTATCTTATTTTATATGAAATGCTATCAATCTGATCAAAATCAAAAATTTGAAAAAAAACATACATATTTACAAGTTCATGCATGTTTTCGTAAATGTTAAGTGAAAGGTTATATATTAGATTACGGAATTTCAATTTTTACTATCTCATGTCACAAATCCATCACACATGCAAAGTTGTAAACCTTTTGTTATATGTTAGGATACAATAACCTTTGCATTGTTTTTTATTCAATATCTCATTTATAAGATTTAGGGTTTACTTACTTTTTTTAAAAACTTCATAAAACCGTCGTAATATAATCGTCAATTTACGACGGTTTTACGTCGAAGTTCTCTAAAACCGTCGTAAAACCGTCGTAACGTTTGCACTGGATAAGCTCTTGATCCGAGGTACGAGGTTATAAATGTTTAGACGTTACGACGATTTTACGACGGTTTTGGGTAAAATCATCGTAAAACCGTCGTAACGGTCAAACGCTCCCATCACGACACGTGTCATGTCATGCAGTGGACCGACTGTTATACAACCGAATCGTCGTAAAATCGTCGCAAAGTTACGACGATTTTACGACGATCAAAAAATCTATATAAGGGACGCGAGTTTTCCCCCTTTCGTCGCTCATTCCTCTCTTCACTCCCTCTCTCCCTACTCTCCCAGCCAATACTTGTAAGTTTTTTTTAAAATTAATTTCATTACATATTCTTTTAGATTTAGGTTCGGAATTTAGATTTAGGTTCGGAATTTAGATTTAGGTTTTGGAATTTAGATAGGCCCGGATTTTGTAAATTTAAATAAATACTTGAAAAGTTAGTAACAAATTTTTTTAAATTTTGTAGATTCTGTCAATATGGCTCTTCGGGCTAAGAGATTTCACAACCGACAGCTGGTCGATTCTGACGGTTCGGCCCCGTCTACCTCGGCGACCGGATCAGCCATCGCAGAGTCCTCGGGCACACAACAGACGGTTTCCCAACCGGTCGTTGTACCGCAGCCGGCACCGCCTCAACCACCACCAGCCGAACCAGCGGCTCCCGCACCGGCCGAGCCTGAGGCTGATCCGATCCCGCCTGTACCGTATGCCCAGTTTACGGTACAGGATCTTCTGGCACAGCCGGGTCGTGAGACCATGAACAAACTCGACCCGGATCGAGCCCCGGGCACATTTTGGTACGTAATTTTTTTCCTACAATATTTTTAAATTAATTAATATTTATTCTTATATATTTGAAATTAATTTACTTTTCTCTTTCTATTTGACTAGGTTTACGACCGACAATGCAGTCGGTCGTAACATTGCGGATATCATCAAGGGGTTTTTCGTACAACCCCATACCAGCTGGAAGAAGCTGGATTAAGCCACACTTGACACTTGGTTCAAGTGTTTTGCGGTAAGTAATTTACAATTTCGTTTACTTTTAATTTCAAATTTTAACTTTTTACAATAATTACTAACTTCTTTATTTTTCCTAGCAAAACTGGCATTGGGAAACATCCGCACACGGACGTGTGGAGACGGCCTTCAAGGAGAATGTCAAATTCCCCCTCAACAACACCGTTTCCGACTGGAAACGGAAGTGGGAGGTTGACGGCGACAAGGCCAAGCCGGCGCCTATGGCCAATACCGTCTGGCGGAGCCTTGTCCAGTACTAGTTGGATCCGCACAACCAGACTACGGCCGCCAAGTGTTCCGGATCTAGGTATGTAGTTAATTCCAATAATATTTACATTATTTGTTTTCATTAATTAATTTTTATAATAGATTCTAATGAAAATATTTTTCAGGAACACTACTGACGATGCGGGAAATCGGAAGAACGTTCCGCACACCTCCGACCAGATTCCTTTTGCCGGAAGACGGTTTATGATGGTAAGTAAATTAAAATTACTAATTTTTTTTGTTTTCAAATAATTAACCCTTATTTGTCGATACTAATTTTTTCATTTTGATTTTGTAGGTCAAAGATAACGGAGGAGAACTTCCTCCGATGACAAAGGTTTTCGCCGAGACGTATAAGAAGCGGAACGGCGAATTCACGGATCCTCGGACGGAGGAGATCTACAACGCCGCCTGTGCGGCGATCGAGGAGCGACAAACGCAGCTGACTCAGCAGGCGCGTCAAACATCTTCCGGAGGTAGCTCGGTCCAATCGACCCCGGCGCTGACGGTGGCGGAGATGGACCAGATTTTCGAAGAGATAAATTAATTACTATATTTAATTAATGTAACTTTAGTTTTAAATTGAATTTCTAACCATAATGTTTTTAAATATTTGTAGGTTGCCCTAAAGAAAAAGAGGCGGGTATTAGGGATGGGGTCCATCTGTGATACCCCGATAGCTACGGCGACTGGTCACGTCCGGGTCCCGGATCCGGTTATCCGCCAGGAGATCGATCAGATACGGATCCGTTACGAGACGAGGATCGACCAGCTCTACGGTCTCTTCGAGATCATGGGAGCCAACAACCCGGTGCTCATGGCGCAGTTGGAGAAGATGCGGGCTGATGGGGTTGTCGGATCGTCTGCCGCCGGGTCATCCACTAGGATGTAACCGCCGGTGCAGACAGACGAGGAGATGTTCCGATCTTTCGGGGTTGAGCCTCCTAGAGCCGGAGATCAGGCGCCGGCGGAAGCATCAAACCGAAGACCCGGCAAGGAACATGTCCAGGACGATGGGGAGGAGGCCGGTGACGGGATCGACGATACAGATTTAGATTTAGATTTAGAGCTGTAGGGTTTTTATGTAAATTACAATTAATTTTAATTTGAAATTTTAATTTCAATTTTTAATAAATTTTAAATTGTAAATTATTTTTTTAATTTAAATTTTAATTCGAATTAATTTTTTTTTTAATTTTCAATTATATTAAACGTCGTATAATCGTCGTAATATCTTTATTTAAAACCGTCGTACATTCGTCGTAAATATTACGACGAATTTACGACCAAAATGTACGACGACAAATACGACGATTATACATCCGTGCTTTACGACGATTTTACGACGAAATGATTAAATACTTTACGATTTATTTACGACGATTTTTGCGTCGTACATTTTACGACGATCTTACGTCGACCACTTAACGAGGGTCCAGGCGAAGACCAAGTCGACGCAATTCGATGTAAACTCGTCGTAAACTGTACGACGCATTTACGACGATTTTGTTTCCCTCGATGTTACGACGAAATGAAACCGTCGTATATTATACAACGATTTTACGACGATTTGTCTATTACGACGATGACTTTACGATGATTTCGAAATCGTCGGTAGTTCGTCGTAATAGCCCTATTACGACGAAATAACGACCATTTTGGCCGTTGTAAAATGATGTTTTTCTTGTAATGGGATTTGCTGAAATAATTGAACTAAGAGAAATAGAATTGAGATGCCCGAGTCTCTTATTCCAGAGAGCTGGAGTGGAAACGAGAAGGGCTGTGGATGAGGTTGGTGACTTTTTAAAGGAAGCGGGAAGAGAGTAGAGGTCACTGAAGCTTTCACATTGGAGCAGAGCAGAGTTTTCCGACTTTGAAGATCCTTCACAGAGAAATCAAAAGTATCAAATTAAACAGAGCACCAATTATCTTTCATGAACTTACAAACAGATATGAGATTTTTAACGATTTCGGGAGTGACAAGAACATTATTGAGAGATAAGGGTTTAAAGTTGGTTTTTATGGAAGTGGAACCAATGGAAGAGATGGGAATGGTGGAACCGTTACCCACAATGACTGACAGATTGGTTGGGGGATTAAGATTAGAGTGAAGATTAACGATACCTGCGTTGGCGACGAGATGAGCCGAAGCACCGATGTCCATGTACCAGTCAGCAGAGGGCTCGGTAATGTTCTAGGAGGTGTATACCTGCTGGAGCTGAGGGAACTCGATCAGGTTAGCCTGCGGCGGCGGAGCGCTTGTTGATGAGGCCAACGGCGACCACGCCGAATATCACAGCATCCAGTACGGAGGAGTTGATGTCGGCCAAAACGAAATATATAAATATATAAAACAAAAAAAAATTACGACCACCCACCAATGGGTGGATTAGAATCTAGTGTTTAGACCATTTCTATCGTCAAGAATCCAATTAAGCGTTTAGAACATTTATATTGTCAAGAATCCAATTAAGCTAGCGTTTTAAAACACAATTGGTATTCATTTCTATCTATTTTCACGGTTGACGTTTTTCTTGAACACTCTTGTATATACTGTCGCCAAAAGGCTTCTTTAAGATATTGAGGCAATTAGAAATTGCAATAAGTACCTAAATCAGCTGCACTTAAACGATGGTATAGCAAGTTAATGAGTCGATATAGCATTGATGGCATAATATTATTAAGTGACACTTTTACACTTGACTTTAAAATACATATCTTTTTCGCTTATACACCATAAGCAAACACTAGAATTGATGATTTCTTGGTCGATCAATCGATAGTGACCATATAACGAAAACATATTAGAAATTGTTTGTGAAACTCTCACTGTACATGATATAGATAGTTATGAAGCTCGTCCAAGCAAACTAAGAATCCATATTCCAAAAGAAAAAAGAAACAAAGAAAAGATAGCTCAAAGCTTCAAGGTTAGATCTGGTAGAGAACTCTCCATATCCACTGCTTGTTTGACCTCCAAGAAACCCACTTTACTTTCACTTATATTATCATTGCCCGCTTCAGCCGCAACTGCATCCGCTGTATGCCTGAAACTCCCTGGCCAGAGCAGCTCGGCCTCGTCATCCTCCACGTAGAAAGGTACACAATTACTGAAATACCCCTGGTTAAATCTGGCAATGTTTCTAATGATCGTTTCTTGTGTCGGCCTTGTAATGCTGAGGTCGTGGGACGAGGCATGTGCCCGTATTCCCAAAGTCCTGAACGATGTCATGTTAGCGTTTCCACTTCCGTGGAGCGGTAGACATGAGAGAGCTGCTGCTGTGGCAGCAGCCGCGTAAGTGTTACTGGAACCTCTGTTGGGGAAGACACCAGCGAGGCCCATACGCATAGCACGTTTGGCGAGCGTTCTTTCTCGTTTGTGAGCGTTTTGGTGACCACCAAGAGCCTGAGAGCTGTAAAACTTTCTTTGACAGTAGTTGCAAGAGAAGACTCTCTTTGTTACAGACGGTTGTTGTTGTTGTTGTTGCTCCGGATTGCTACTCTCGCTCGTGCTTGACATTGGCAGCGTCAGAGAAGATGATTCAAGATCCAAATTGTTGTTGTTGTTGTTGAAACATAGGCTTAGATTTAGAGAGATGGGTTTATAATCATCCACTGGAGACAAGTTGGAGGCTACTTGGCTGCTAGTACTGTCTGAGTGATCCTGCTCCGATGAAGGTTCAATTTCGAGGTCCAAGATCGGTCTCATGATTCTACTAACGGTTGTTTTTTTTTTTTTTTCTGCAATGATTTTTTAAAGAGAATGTCAAAAAACTGTTTTCAAGTATAAAAAGTAATAATGATGAGAATTTGGATGTACCACAATTGGTTCTGTCCAAACAAAGTCGATAATGTCTTCAAAAATAATAATAATATCAAGAAAAACAAACAAGTGGGAGAAAACGTTGGTGTGACTATAAATGGTCCGAGTTAAAGAGTAGACAACATCAGAAGTGCCAAATTTAGTACTGACACATCCATCAAGCAGTCAACTTTAAACTACCTAAAATTCTTCTATATTTTTCACTACGTTAAAATTTAAAATTAATCAATTTCCATTTTTTTTTTGTATTTAGCAATAACACAAACAAACCTCAAAAAAAGTTCTACTTCATTTGCTATATTTTTTCTTCTTTCGACAGTGGAATCCCAAAAAAAAAGGGCAGAGACATACATACACAAAGCGACAAACAAAAAAGCAGACAAACAAACACACTCACAAAGCAACAAACAAAAAAACAGACAAACAGATATAGTGAAAAGATCACCGACAGCAAAATCAGCTTGCATATGAAACAGATCCATAAATAAAAATAAAATTCTCACAGTAAGTTCTTTTCAATATCATTCAGGAAGAACTTATCCCAGTAACAGCTAGAATATAACCAAATTTATTTCTTAAAAACTCTATATTATTAACTGTAGCATCTAAAATACAATATTTAAGTATAAAATACAGTTAATTTTTAGGGAATCCAATGTTTTTGAGAAAAACGAAAAGAAAGAAACTAAATGGAAATCTTTTGATTGACCCAAACCTTTTTAATAGTTGTACAAACCATACTAATCAGTATTGATCAATAATCAAAAGAAACTTCAATCTTAGATGCCATAACTGTGAGAAATTAATCTCTAAGGGCTCAGATTTCCAAAAAAAAAAAAAGAGAGAACATTCATACCTTAGGATGATGAGGAGACAAAAGATTGGGATTAGAACGAAGAATTGAGGGTTATGATCAGCTTTGTCTCCATCGATCTCGAGGGTAGTTTTGGGATTTAAAAAGAAAGAGAAGAAGAGGGAGAGAGAGAGAAAGAGTTATTGAGTTTGTGAGTGTTATGTTTGGTTTTGGAGCACAAAAGAGAGGAGAGAGTGGGAATGTAAGTGTAAGATGATGTTCTTATTATTATGGGAAAAGCTAAGGTTGCTGTGAGTGGGAGTGGAGGGGACAATGGTGGGACGTCTCACACTTAAGTCAGACTACAGTTTTTTTTATTAATTTATTATTTCTTAGGATAATTTTTTTTAATATTTCATCATGTATGTGTGTGTGATGGTTCAATTGGTTTCATACTCAGGGTCCATAACTCTATTTGTTAATTTAAAATCTTTTAAAACTGAAAGTTGGCAGTCAAGTGCGGCCAGTTGACTCAGTTAGATGAGTGTTACTTTAGTATTATGGGATCTGAGTTCAAATCCAAGATGTTACATTGAAAGAAAAATGATTTGCTATTTATTCATTCATCACAAATATTATCAAACGTTGGTCTTGAACCAAAAGTATATGGAGCTCTCTCGTTACATTTATAGCATGTACATCAGGGGATCAAGAGGGGTTCATGGTATAGTTTTTGAGACAAAAGATCTTAATATTAAAGAAACAGTATCATCCCGACGAACCTGAAGAGACGATATCATCCCAAAATGAAGCATCTTGATTGGTTAAAAATTATAATTTTCTAATTTAAAAAAAAACTAAAACAAAAAAAAATGTTATTATATTCTAGTAAACCCCTCTCTTAAAGGTTCACTAATGTACATGCTAATATGAGAGGTGAACCCATAATAAATACCTCCACAGTAATACTTGATACGATAGAGCGAGTGACACAATGGTCATTTTGAATGTGTAAAAGACTTGCTAGGTAAATCAAGGTCGTAGATATATACCAAAATTCACATGAGAGGTAAACCCATAGATACTAAAGAGCGAGCGATACATTTTGAATGGATAGAAGAATGGTTATGTGAATGAAAGACATGAATCAAGTTCCATCATATACCAAAATTGATATAATTATTTTTTGACCGTTTTCTAAAAATAGTAAAAATACATGGTTTTTTTTAGGTTTAGGAATTCATGTTTGGGCTCGAAATCTATATCTCGATTATGAAAAAAAACAAGAAAAAAAAACTCTACACCCAAATTTACTATCTAGGAGTTGTTAACGATTTATTGCGGGTGCTGATGCATTTATAAGATCTGATCAATTCACTACAAGAAATCAGTAGATTAACAACGAAATTTAATGACGATATAAAATCGTTGTAAATTCCCTTCGAATAAACGACGATTTAACGTCGATCTTCAGAATCGTCGCCAAATCGTCGTTAATTTGCGACGAAACGAATTTGTCGTTAAATCGTCGTTAATTAACGACGATTTCGCGACAATTCTGAGAATCGACGTCAAATCGTCGTAACTCAGCGACGATTTAACGACGAAAGTTTTTCCTCGGCCATTAACGACGATTTCACGATAAAATAATAGTTAGGTCAAACACGTTTATACCAGATTCTTATTTTCGTCGTGAATTCGTCGGTAACCAAATTTTCGTCGCTAATTCATTGTTAAATAACGTTGTTAATTCGATGGTAAGCTAAATAAAAATCTATATATAGTGCCACCCCATAACCCAAAAAATCACAATGCTCCCAAATAAAAGTGATTGAATTGATCACTTAATTGGGAACAAGTATAAGTTTTAAAAATATTCACTATTGGTAGTGAATATTAAATATACGAAATGTCGTCCATATACAAAATTCGGAAATGGATGTACAATCGTATTGATTCAACGGGATCGTTGACAAAAGAATTCAGTGAGGGGGTAGAGGGATTCATGCATGAGGCAGGAAAACTCCCAAGAACGATTACCAGTCGTATGATGTATTGTCCTTGTCCTAAATGCATGAATAGAAAATTTATCAAAATCGCGAAAGTGTGGTCGCATATATTAAATAGAGGATTTATGCCACATTACTTTATATGGTATCATCATGGAGAAGGTCATGGAGAAAGTGCAGGTAGTAGTAATAGCAATTATCAAGCATCAAATTTTGAAGAGTCGTCAAACAATTTGCATCAAGATGAATATTATCATGCAGAGCAGCAAAGGTTTGATCATGATAGAATTCAAGACATGGTTACAGATGCATTTCACGAAACCACAAATACATTTGCACTTGTCTATGATGAGGAACCCAATGTAGATGCAAAAAATTTTTATGATATGTTAGGTGCTGCTAATCAGCCACTTTACAATGGATGCAAAGAAGGACAATCTAAATTATCACTGGCAGCTAGGATGATGACTATTAAAACTGATCATAACTTAGCTGAGACTTGCATGGATGATTGGGCTGACCTGATTAAAGAGTATTTGCCGGCAGACAATTTAGCAGCTGGAACTTACTATGAGATCCAGAAACTTATTTATAGTCTAGGATTGCCTTCTGAGATGATAGATGTCTGTGTTGACAATTGCATGCTATTTTGGAAAGATGATGATAAGTTGGAGGAATGTCGATTTTGTCATAAGCCAAGATATAAGCTGCAAAGAAGTAGTCGCAGCAAAGTATCATTCCAGCATATGTGGTACCTTCCTATAACTGATAGGTTGAAACGAATGTATCATTGTGAAAGAACAGCGGCAGCGATGAGATGGCATGCAGATCATTTGCAGACAGATGGAAAGATTACTCATCCGTCAGATGCTAAAGCGTGGAAACACTTTAAGTCAGTACATCCAGATTTTGCGAGAGAGAAACGAAATGTATATCTTGGTCTATGCACAGATGGATTTAGTCTATTTGGTATGTCAGACAGACAATATTCGTTGTGGCCTGTAATCTTAACGCCTTACAACCTTCCTTCAGATTTGTGCATGCAAAGAGAATTTTTATTCTTGAGTATTTTAGTTCCTGGTCCAAAACACCCGAAGCGTTCCCTTGATGTATTTTTGCAGCCTCTAATTGAAGAATTAGAGAAGTTGTGGTATACCGGAGTTCGAACATATGATTTTGCAAGAAAAAAGAATTTTACTATGCGAGCAGTGCTTATGTGGACTATAAGCGATTTTCCTGCTTACGGGATGTTATCGGGATGGACTACGCATGGTCGGTTGTCGTGTTCGTATTGTCTTTATCGGACAGAAGCTTTTCAACTAAAGCATGGGCGAAAGACATGTTGGTTCGATTGTCACCATCGATTTTTACCACCTCACCATCCGTACCGGAGAAACAAACGGTTGTTTCGAAAGAATAAAGCTTATCATGTTCCTCCACCCGTGTATCTATCAAGGGAAAAATTTGGAAGCAGATATTGATAATTACGATGCACAAGAAACGATTATTCGTGGTGGAAACTGGCATACTCCAACTAATATGCCCGATGGATATGGGGAGATGCACAACTGGCATAAGAAAAGCATATTTTGGAAGCTTCCATATTGGAAAGACCATCTGCTTAGACACAATCTGGATGTGATGCATATTGAGAAAATTTTTTTTTGATAACATCATGCATACGGTGTTGAATGTTCCTGGAAGGACTAAAGACAGTGGTAAGTCGAGACTAGACTTGCCTGATATTTGTTCTCGGAGTGAGTTGCACATTACAAGTAATGGAAGAGCACCTGTTCCTATATTTCGATTGGGTGCGGCAGAAAAGACAGCCTTGTTTAAATGGGTTTCATCTGGTGTGAAGTTCCCGGATGGATATGTTTCTAATCTAGCCAAGTCTGTTGAGAAAGGAACAAAGGAACAAAGTTTGCTGGAGGGTTGACTACTCGTGAAATCGATCAAATCTTCGAGGAGGTATATATTTAATAAATAAATTTAATAGTCATTTATTTTTTATATTTTATATTCTAATAAAATTTAATTTAAAATGTAGGTCGCTCCGAAAAAGAAGGGAAAATTAAGTTGTAGGGATGGGATCTATTAGAGACGTCTCGACTGCTTCGTCATCCGCACCACGCCGCCGAGGACGAGAAGATGATCCAGTCGTTCTACGGGCCAAGATTGCAACTTTAGAGGAGTCTCAAACCGCATATCACCAGGAAGTTCAGGAAGAGCTTTCAGAGTATGACTCCATCTTTGATATCATTGCCCTCTCAATCCTGGATGTTGCAAATGCCTTGCGAGCAAAACGTCAAAAACGTGCAGCGGAAAAGGAAGCAAGAATGGCGGCACGGAGAGCGGCGACACAAGAAGCAGGTACTCAAGGAGCGGGTACTCAAGGAGCATCTACAAGTGGTGGAGAGGATCAATCACAAAGCTCCGGTTACCAATCTTGCGGATGATTTTGGGATTTCGAAATTTGTTATGATACTTAAATATGATTTCTTTTTGTTGTAATAAAAATAATTTGTTTTGTTTTTAATTAAAATAATTTTATTTTCATATTTATTTTCAAATTAATTTATTTTAATTTTTAATTGTTATTTTTCAAAAAAATTTCTGTTTTTATAATCAAATAAAAGTTCGTCTTTAAATCGTTGTAAATTATAACGAATTACCAACGAAATATTTACGACGAATTAGTGACGACATCAACAGTAACAACGATTTAAGGACGATTTTTGGACCACAAATTCGCAACGAATTACCGACATAAGTTCGTTGTTAAATCGTCGCTAACTTTACATCGAAGTTACGACGAATGTTTCCCGACGATTTTACGATGATTCCTTGTTTCTCGTTAATTAATGACGATTTTACGACGAATTAGCGGTTACGACGATCAATATACGACGAATTCGGATTTGTCGTTAAATCGTTGCAAACTCTCTTTCACGACGATTATGGTTGTTGTTAAACAGCTGATTTCTTGTAGTAATTATGTGAAAAATGATGATCTTTACTTTGATTAAACTTTTGGAGATCTCTAGCGATCAAAGAAAAAAAAAAAAAAAAATTCATACTATACACTAGAGGTTCCACCAATTAGTCAAAACGTCTAGTTGATTAATGGATCTGGAAGTATATAGCTCATTATATGAGACGGATGCCTAACCGAAAAATTAAACTAGATTCCTAACCAGAAATTAGTAATCATTAAGCGTCTGAATATCCGATAAATCAATTTGA